GACTTCAGCTCAGGTCATGATCTCATGGTTCGTGAGTTCAAGCCGTGCATCAGGCTCTGTGCTGAGGGGCTCAGAGCCTGGAGTCTGCTTTGAATTCTGTGTTTCCCTCTATCTCTGCCCCTCCCCCGCTCACACTTTTTCTCTCTCTCAAAAATAAAAAATAAAATAAAATATCTTGCTCTTGAAAGTGTTACAAAAATATGTGATGAAAGCCTTAGAAGAGGGCTAGCTATTTGAGGGACCATCAAGTTTATGCTTCACTGGCTTCTCAGTAAAGCTGCCTTTGCTTTGTACACTTTGCTTTTTGTGAGATTGTGCACCTTTACATTATGTGTGCTCTTGGGCAGTATCCAATGAATTCATTTACAAATTATTTAATTGGGTGGCTCCTTATGCCCTGGTTTGAGGGATAGGAGGAATAAGATGAATTAACTAACTTTTGACTAAATTGCATGAACATGTAGAATTGAATATAGTAGTTGAGCTGCTGCTTTTTCATCCTAGCAGAAGGTTCTGCAGGCAGCTCCAAATGCCCCAGTGGTTGGGTGACACCCGATGTAATGACTGAATCTTTATGGAACGCATGTCTACAGGCACGGGATATAATATGGGGAGGTGGAAAAGACTCACTCTGACCTGATACCCATTTACTACTTAATAACTCAGTTATTAAAATAGCACTTCTTTGTTTTATTCTCCTCAGGGTTCAGGAACAATATGCCAAAACATTAATTAAAATCTATGAAAGAGCTTTAGCTGGGAGTTCAGTGTAGTAAAATGATATCTAAATGTGAGGCGACGTTGGTTGCCAGCAGAAGACGCCCATTTCCTAATTTTTATTTAAAGAAAAAGACTATAAGTGGTATACAATAATTAGCACACTGGAGTTCTGTGAAGCCATGAACAATGGGATACTGTAGAAGAGAGAAAGAAAACTTAAGAGGTGGAAAGTAAAGGTGTGACATAGTAAGCATGAATGGGAGGAGAAGAAAATTGGATTTAATTATATCAAGACAGATGCAAATATTTACCAATTCTTTGTAACTTGGAGATAGTAATTTTAAGATCAAAATTTATATTATGGAAAATGAAGAAATAGTACAGTTTGATGAATTTCATAACTTTTCTATGAAACAAGTTATTGTGATTCATATGAAAGTATTTTATTTTTGTCTCTTTTTTAGGTCAGACTGTGCCAAAATCCCAAACTTCAGTTGAAAAATAGCCCACCATACATACTTGATATTTTACCTGATACATATCAACATTTGCGACTTATATTGAGTAAATATGATGACAACCAAAAACTTGCCCAACTCAGTGAGAATGAGTATTTTAAAATCTACATTGACAGTTTAATGAAAAAGTCAAAACGGGCAATAAGACTCTTTAAAGAAGGCAAGGAGAGGATGTACGAAGAGCAGTCACAGGACAGGTAAGAATATTTCAGATTTATTTATTTTTTTAGTGATAAGGTCATATTTATGTTATTTTTTGCATCATAGTATAAATGTCAGCTTTTTTGTTTTTTGGAAGAAATACTGCATTTGTGTTTTGCTTTTCACATTATTTTAACCTTGTAGTTTTACTTAAATTTCTTGATAATTACTAATTCATGAGATGCCGTTCTTTTTTAAAATAGACCTTAGTTTTTAGGACCGTTTTAGGTTTACAGAAAAATTACTCCCGAGTACATAGTTCCCATCTACCCCTCCCTGCCAACATGCTTTTCTCCCATTATTACTGTCTTGAATAGTGTGGTACATTGATGAACCAATAGTGATATAGTAGTATTTACTAAAGCTCATAGTTTATATTCGGATTCACTCTTTGTGTTGCACAATTCTGTGGGTTTTGACAAATACATGTCATGTATCTGCCATTTCATTATCATGTAATGATGTACCTCAGTTTGTTTATCCATTCATCTATTGAAGGATATCAGGGTTGCTTCTAGCTTTTGGCAATTATGTATAAAGCTGCTGTAAGGATTCATATGCAGGTTTTTATGTGGACGTAAGCTTTCAGTTCATTTGAGTAACTACCTAGGAGCATGAGTGTTGGGTCGTACGGTAAGCCTATGTTTAGCTTTGTAAGAACCTCCCATGCTGTCTTCCAAAGTGGCTGTGCCATTTTGCATTCCCACCAGTGATGAATGAGAATTCCTGTTGCTCCCATCTACCGTATTTGGTACTGGAGGCACTGCCTTGACTGGATATGTATATGTGATAGACGTGGGTGGGAGATATAGCTTGAGTCTCAGTGTTTGACTGTTAAGTGAGAAACTGAACAGGGGTGGCGAAGACTGAAGGGACATCAACTGAATCCTCACTTTACAGCCAGGATTCCAGACTTAGAGGCTCCCCTTTGAAGTTTGTTTGGCTATTTCAATGTTAAATTTTATGGTCTATCTTAAATGACGAAAGTTAGTTTTCCATTTCTGGGATATTTTAAATATATCTAGAATATTCACTGATAGTAATAGTATATTTAGATTTCCAAATTTGAAAACAAATATTAAAATATATATGACTTTAATGTGGTTAAGTTGAATTTTTGTTTAAGACACTTAACTTCTCTGTATTTTAGTTTCCTTCCGTATAGGGAAACCTCCAAGAAACCTCTAATGTTTCTTTCAGGTCAGAAAAACTAGCCTCATTCAGTCTGATAAAACATAGGGTTGTATAATAGCAAGTTCACTTATCTAGTTGTGTAGACTCTGAACTTGTCTGTAAATACTGGCCAAACAAATACCCGGAGTGAGTAAAACCATCAAAATCAAACAAAGAAAAACCATCTGCCAAAATGTAAAATGGCATAAAAGTTTACTTATTTATAATTTGCTCTCTAAATTGGTGATGAACCTAACATAATCATAAGTGTTAACCAATTGTAACTATAGGCTCATTATGTAATATACTTGGATCACAGTTTACACGTTTTGAGGATGGTGAATCTTTCAGTTGCCTTTTAGTTGTAAAGCTCTAAGACTCTCTCCTGGACTGCCAAGCAGAGTGTGAATCACCACATGGTATCATAAATAAAGTAGGGAAATATAGTAGTGATGGTTTCTTACAAAGAATGTCCAGTTATAGGGCACAACAAACCTTTCAAGAATGACCAGTTATAGGGAAGCCAGCTGTTTATGTTTAAAACTGTATTTTTACTTTGTTCTACAAGTGATCTAATAAAATCAAGTTGTTTTATAATTGTCTTTTTACTTCTTATTCACATTTAGTAGCCCTGAAATTCTTCATGAGTCAGCAAAGAAATCCATTTAATTTCACGTTTTTAGGATATTGGTCCAGTGAGAGGGCATGTAATTTCTCAGTTTAGGAATTTGAGTGGATACAGTGTTTTCATTGGATGTAGTCATATAAGATGTGGTGAACTTGTACCCCACTTTTATAACTTCTTTAGAAACTTGAAACATTTCCTAACCCAGTAGATGTCTTTATAATTACCATTTCACTTATAAACTTTGGTATTTTGGACTTTTTATGTGGGAGCATATCATGGGAGAATCTCTGTAAAATGTTGGTTGCTTGTGTGTAGATTTCCACAGATGATGACAGGTTGTATATTGCTGATTGATTAGGTCGAGGAGACTCTAAATTCTGTGTTTTAAGTGTCCAAGTAAATTTTGTCACTCTGCTAAATTCAACCCTAAGAGAGAGCTTATTAGTTTCTATGCTGGTATAGCGTGTTCCTAAATGAATTTTTCTGTCATCTGTGTTCCATTTGCTGATGGTGTTCTTTGACCACTGTTTTTATGCAGAACTTACATTTGATACATGTTTAATCAAAATTCATAATAATGTACCACTCTTGGTACACCATAGTAAGAACATAGGTTTTGATCTATGTTTCTTTTGGTAGTTACATATTTTTACACATTCATTTTTAGGTTGCCTTAGTATTTTAAATGCAAGCTGAGGCTAAAGTGTGCCATTGTATATGGAGCTGTGAGACATTTTGCTCTATAGAAAACAAAAGAAATTTCTTAGAATGTTCTTATGGTCGTTAGGCAACAAAGTATTCTATTTGGTGCAATGACTCTTATCTAACATGGATGACACAGTGATTCCTGGGTATATTATAAATTCTCTGAACAGTTTTTGCTTCTGCAAATAATGTCAGTAGGGATATTGGTATTATTAAGCTAAAACTGAAGGAGGTAGTAATAGGAGACATAGTGATTTGGAGCCCACTGACTATATCAGCATTGCCACCAGCAAATTACGTACTTTGTTGAGAAAAAGAGTGCTGGATGAGTTCACGAATCCAAAAGTTTGTTTTCATGTTCCTGCTGTGTCAAAAAGAAACTTCTTTGTGGATTTGTTTTAAACGTAAGGGCAAATGGGAAAATTTCAGGTGTCTACTTTGATTAAGCTCGGTTTTAATTAATTGCTGAAATATGAGTGGCCTGAATTTTTAAAGCAGTTTCATATAATTGTGACAAATATGGTAAATAGGAAAATAAGTATAGCAAATGGCATGCAGTGTATTTTTTGTCTCTAGGTGAGAAGCAGAAAGTTTATTTGCTAGTGAAATAGATACTGTGGGCGTAGGGCAAACCTCTCACTTGGAGAACGGGGTGGGATGACGATTTCTGGTTAGAGGCATGCTGCATGCCTTGCTTGACTTTCATGGCAAACCTCTTTTCTAGCATCACTTCTCCCAAGTTTGTTTCTTTGTTTTTTTTTCTGACAAACGGTTGAACCTCACACTGAGCTAGTGCATCTCCAGCTGAATGTCTAAACCATTCGGAGCTGGTGTTTCTTTCTGGGAAGAGTAATTTAGTGATATCAGGCACCCATAAAGTTTTCGTGTGTATATATGGGGTGGGGGTTGGGAATCATGTAGAGAAGGGAGAATTTGTAGTTTCAAGTACAGAGAAGAGGTGAAACTTGATATCCCATGGCTTACATTTTTAGTGGCAAAAGTCCGAATGAATGTGAGGCTAACAAATGTAGAATTGCCAGGAGGGGCTCTTCTTCAGTGATATGACTGGTAGTTTCATCAGTTGACCATTTTGATAGAAAAATTTACTCTTTCATGTAAAAAGTTGTGTGTTAATTACCTGCTCAGCAAGGCCTGGTGTTAGACACTGTTTTAGAACACCCAGAGGTGATGGCCTAAGGATACTCAGATTTTCCGTATTTCATAGCTGCTTCAGTGAACCAGAGTGCAACAAACCATTTTCCCCTCCCACACTCTGGTTTACAACCACTGAAACAAAACCAAAAGTCAACTGAGGTGGAAAAAATAGTTGTGTTTGATAACCCATCAGTGAAGAAAATGAAGGCTTTTAAAAAATTCACACCAGAGGATAATACATAGATGTTGTCTTATTATTAATGTCATTTCAGAGCCCCTGGGCTGTTCCTCATGCACATATATTGTCGAAAATCACAGTGTGCATAGCTTGTATAATAATATTCGTTCCAAACCAGATTTTTTTAAAAAGTATTTCAACATAGAAAAACTCGTCCTGGAAGATGCTAGCCTTTACTTAAAATCCTTCAGGAGTATCAGGCAAAAATCTTCCTCTCCACTGACCATTTGATTGAACAAAGAAAAATGCTATATTAAACTGGCTGTATTAATATAATAAAGTGCCTTTTCCTCTAAAGGACTACCAATCACTATGCTTGCTGTTTATACCTGTGTTGTAATTTATGAGATAGTATACCAAGAACATTTTGGAACTGATATATTAAAGATTCATGGTTAAGTTAAAAATCGAATCAAAAAATATCAGCAACAACATTAACAGGAACAACAAAACACAAAGCTGCAAATAAACCTACTTGGCTTTCTTCATACCACCGTATGCCAGCATTGCTTTGGCCAGATAATAGTGTGTCAGTTTAAGTGTTTAAATTTGTATAAATGTAAATGCTGTTGATTGCTTGGTCATGGAAGTAGGCTTGAAGTTCCCCTGGGTTTTCAGTTTAACCATAAAAACAGATTGACCTGTATGCACAATTGGGGCTCTAGGTAGTAGTTTTAATTATTACTAGAACTCACAGGTTTATGGCCTTGTTTAAAATGCCACAGTAAGTTCTACGTTTTCTCATAGGCAGCACTATAAGTTGCGAGAAGGAAATGAGGAAAGAGTGCTTTCAAATGGTCTGTTGTCATTTATGCTCCAAGTGTTCTTTGTAGCGTTGGTTGGTTTTCTGACCTGTGATCTGTGTTTCTGATCTGTGTTGTTTTTAGTCTTTATTTTCTGGATTGTCACAATATTTTTTGGTTCAGACGTTTCAACATCATAAAACAAAGATGTGGTTTGTTTCAAACTAAAGGCTACTACTGTTGCTGTACTAGTCTATTAAATAATTTTTCAGGGCGCCTGGGTGGCTCAGTCAGTTAGGTGTCCGACTTCAGTTCAGGTCATGATCTCTCTGTCCCTAAGTTTGAGCCCCACAT